GGGAAGTGCTTCCCTCTGATTACCTAAATTTCCATATCCCATTCCATTAATTTGACAAATTTTTGCCACTTGTCAAAAACAGGAAATTGGATTTGACCTAGATTACGATCTCTAAAAATAATTATTGGTCGTGAGCACTCCCATCTCTTTGTAATCTGAGTATTCATTATCATCTTGATTAATTCTGATGACAGGATAGCTTAGGATACCCGGGAGACATGAGACTTCCTCATTTATCTAATTCTTAGGTTAAGTGTGAATACCTTCAGATAAGAAAAAATGTATAGTACTTGCCCTGCTGCCATCAAACACTTTGTGCTCAATATAATCATTCAGCAAAGTGATGCTATTGAAACATAAACCCCATGCCTTTGTGTGGACATGAAATGATTTATTTTCTTTTGTAAATAAAGAGATTACACTTAAATGTGTAAACAACAATGTTAAAAAGTCAGAGTAAATTAAACAACAAAATACATTTTGAAAGATATGGAAAAGCAGACTGTTTCCAGATTTCCTAGTTGCAAACTGCGTTCAAGACATTTGCCTGCAAGCTTACTAACAACGTTTCAAAGTATCCCTTTACCTACAAGTAAAATAATAAATCTTAACTAATTGAAAAAAACCAGCAGAGAATCCAGGACTTGACTCTAGGTAGGTAAACGAAGACAAAATAATCTTCAAATAGTTAGTATCTATGCATAAATCTGGCTTTATATTATACCTCAGGTAGGGAATTGAAAGGGTTATCCTCACCTGCTGGGGCCTGGAAGTGTTCTAGCCATGTGGTCTCTTTAGAAAGGTCATTTATATATTTGTCTTTAAAAAATCAGATTTATGCTATTGATTGCTAGATTGTGAAAGAGTGAATAGAATTCCCCTGTCATTTCAACCTTTTATTCTCATCCCCCTTCTTTTTACTACAGCTATTTCCAATATCTTTGAAGGCTCCCAAGTGCTCTTGGGGCTCTCTGTTCCCCTTTGCCCTTTCCTGGCATTTCTGGAAGCAGCGGGTTGTAGGCAAGAGTTACTGGGCCAGGGGCTGCTCTCTCTGTGCCTGGTGCGAACCTCAGGCTAAGCTCCTCGGGCTCTCCTTACATTCATACAAATTTAAGGGAAAAAATGTGACCCTCACTAGTGGCACATCTCCCCCGCCCATCACATTGTGGCAGTAGCATAGAAACTTCTGCAATCCTTTGGGCAAGGCTAAACCTCTCTCTGCCTCCCTGCTATTTTCATGCCCTATTTTCTCCGTGCTTTTGGTTTGAGGTGCTGAGGTACGCACATCAGCTGGCACCCAGGCCATCAGCAGATCAGGTAGGGGAGAAATACTCACCCCTGTGCCTTCCAGACAAGTCTCAGTTCTCTCACTTGTCCCTGACAAAGTTACTCCACGTTACTGATGATCCAGGGGTTGGCCAAGATTACTCTGCTCGTTTTGCACTCTTTGTCTCCATCGTTTCATGCCAAAGGCTCCAGATGGTGCCTGTACCGTTGTGTATTGCATTTATTCTGTGAGCGGAGCCCAGGGTCGCCTCAGTCCATACGAACACCAATCCTTGCTGTCTAATTAAAAGGACCTGCGGCTATTCCTTGTCCTTTATATCCAGAACAGTGACTTAGCAAATGAGAGTGTAATTATCATGATATTTACATCACATCCCATTATGAAGCCCATCGACCAGATTTGCACATTCATAGCACTGCTGCTTACTGGAGTTCATCCTTCGTAACTGCAAAATCTACCTCGTTACGTTATACCATAAGATGAGCACGGCAGCAAGAAAAAAAGGACCAACATGCACATAAAGCCTTTATTGTGCATATATGGGCAGATCTTCAGCTCGTATAAATCAGCGTGGCTCTATTGAAGTCAATGGAATGACAATCCATGTAAGCCACAAAATCCAGCCCACTACATTTGCTCACACGCAGTAGGATTGTGTTTTCAGTCACACATGGGGATTCTTATACATTTCATCTGTCTTTCTCAGTATTTCTCTGGAGAGCTCAGCCCTTCTCAACAGCTCTCATTGCCCTCTTAGCTACTTGGGGCTTCTCCAGGCTCCAGTTAGGAATCCGTGGTCTCCCACTACTTGCGCTCTTCTGTTCCCTTTTCTGTCTTCTGTAGTGCCTGCTTGCTTTCCATTTGTACCTCTCACTAAAAACTGGGCCTTAACAGAAAGGGATGAGCAGGTCTGGGCATGTAACATTTTATACATCTGTGTGCTGCTGCCTGCTAATGCAAAGTTTGCTCGGTGTGGATATAAACAAATTTAAACAGCTTTCCTCTAACCTAGCATAATACAGTTCTTGTAATAGTGAAGCAGCATAAGTGGGGTGCAAATTATATTCACGTGGAGGCTGAGATTTATAATTCTGCGGAGACTAAGAATAAAAACATAAATGCACTTTCATTCCAATGTGCCTTTATTCACTTGATTTAAAGCTACAGCAAGCCGAAGTGACCTTAAATCATCCAGGGCTTATACCATTAAAAAGTCACATGTGCAATGTTCATCTTCGCCTGTTTTAGTAGCTTTCCAAATAGGCATTCACTGGGGACCGTCAGCTTCGTGAGAGTCTAAGATTAGGAGGATATGGACTAGAAACCTTCCTTTAAGCTCCAAGTCTGAATATCTGAATGCCAAGGAAAAAAAACCCTATTGGCTAAATCCTGATTTTATCCTCTAGCCTTCACATTCAATGGCAAACTCCTTTGTTTAGTGCTGAAGAGCTTTCCCTCCAGGTGGGAGGGAGGTGTCTTCTTGAGCCAAGATCCACGCTGCTTGCGGAGCAGACAGCAGGGGCAGCTCGGTTTAAGAGTCTGGCAGCTGGCACGTTTTTCCTTCCCCAGCAGGAACCTGAGGGTTTCATGTTTTTTAACGCAATTCACCAGCTGGGATCACGTCTCCCGATAAGCAGCCAGATCAGAAACTGCTCCGAGTCCCCTTCTCTCCCCACCTCACCATCTCAGGCTGATACTTGCACACAGAGATCGAACACCCCAGTGAGGCTGCTGTAACGCTGCACACTGACAAAGTGAGAAAACCGCTGCGTGCCGTTGTAACCAGCTGTTGTGGGCTTTTTTGTACTGATAGCCTCAAGTCCTTCACCAGAACGACAAGACGCTGCTCGGCCATCAAGCAAGAATCCTTTGACCTGGACGGTGGATGATGTGGTTTGGTTCGTGAAGGATGCAGACCCTCATGCTTTAGGTCCCCACGTGGATCTCTTCAGAAAACACGTATGTAGAAGGCTGCCCTTACCGCTTCTGGGTGATTTAAGCCAAGTACATGGGCAGTCCCAACAGCCAGCCACTACACATCACACACACCCCTCCGCTGCCTTTGGCTGCTATGGGCAGTGTTTGTGCTCAGCCAGGTTGAACACAGGGCCCTGCAAGATATTCAAGACCGCTGTGGGGTTTGGGCTGAAGAAAGGTTCATTTATCACCCCAGAGGGTGTTCAAACACTGGAACAGGCTTCCTAGAGAGGTGATTGACGCCCCAAGCCTGTCGGTATTTAAGAAGCATTTGGACAACACTCTTAATAACATGCTTTAACTTCTCATCAGCCCTGAACTGGTCAGGCAGTTGGACTAGATGATCGTTGTAGGTCCCTTCCAACTATTCTATTCTATTCTATTCTATTCTATGCTATGCTATGCTATGCTATGCTATGCTATGCTATGCTATGCTATGCTATGCTATGCTATGCTATGCTATGCTATGCTATGCTATGCTATGCTATGCTATGCTATGCTATGCTATGCTATGCTATGCTATGCTATGCTATGCTATGCTATCTCTATTCTATCTCTATTCTATTCATTCTTCAATGGGGAGACCCTAACAATGTATTGAGAAAATGCTTACTATTTGTTCCGAACTACACCAGCATAAATTGTTTCTATGCCAAGCCTAAGAGAAAGCACAGAGGATCTGGTGCTCATTTTTGTTCTCACACTGGCAAAAAAGCCTCATCTCAATGACAATTTTTTTCCCAGGATACCTATGATTCTTCTCTGAAGAGCATTTTTTATGTATCTCTAGATATTTAGCAGGAGAAACCCAAACAACCAAGCTTTTAATCTTTTTCCCCTCAGTATTGTGTAACTACATAACTAAATTTAACAGACCTGCTGACTCACTGAAGAATATGATATAGTTGCTTTTGCTAGTCAATCTCCAGTGGTGGAAATTATATTATCCTTAATTAGTAAAGGAGAAGACTGTAAACATATATCTGATCTCGAGTTTCTCGTTCTGCTGCTGTGTATGGAGTTGACACCAATGTATCTAATAGTATCTTCAGCCTCCTCCTCCTCCATCCCTCCTTGATCAATTCAGTCTGGCTATGAAAATGGATTTTACCCTAAAAGTGACTTGCTTGTGTTCAGCTCAGGGTCATACCTCAGATGTAAGTGCCTGGACCTAGGTCTAAATGAGAAGAGCTCCCCAGCCATGTCTCCTGAAAGTGCCTCGGGTTGCAAAGAAAGGGAGAGGTCTTGATCACCAGGTCCTACTCCTTGCCTGTTTGCCAGTAGGGATGGGTGGGAATGCGGGGCTGCAGCCAAGAGCTGAGAGAGACAACTGATGGACTTCCAGCTACACCCTGCATGCAGGGTTTCCAGATACTGAGGCAAGGAGGTGGCTGAGGAGCAGAAGAAAATTAAGATGAACACAGTTCTTGATGTCTGCTCACCCTAGGCAGGTATTGAGGCTGTCTGCCATTCTGCAGACAGGCTGGTAGGATGAGAACAATAGAGCAGGCACAGTGGCGCTAGGACCAAATCTGCATTACAGGTCAAGTGCCAGCCAACTTTCCCTGCCTTCTGCAGAGAAGTCAGATCTGCCTTATAAGCTGATAACGAAAACATGGCCTACATTGGCTATCTGGTTAACCAGGCAGATAAAAAAGTCACTTTCAGGTTTAAAGGAACTTGCTTTAGAACGAATTTTTAAGACAATCAGAAAGGGCTGTGCATCGAGAGAAAACTCTTCATGCAAGGTAGAGAGAATTGCCATGGTCTGAAGCATACAGGTACATCCCAAAGAAGAGAAACATGTGAAGTTCATCTTCTAAATACAGACAGTGCAAAAGCACTGGTTTTTGTCTAGTTTCCACTTGCAGCAAAGGATGGCACAGCATGCTTTTATCTAACAACAGGGCAGCCACACGCTCCAGGCAGTCATGGGCCGGCTGTACTGGAGCATGCCACAACACTACAGCTGCTCTGTGACCAAACAGACCAAGCTAAATTGCCACTAAAAACTGTCTCTGTCATCCTTTGTTCAACACCCAGCACCCACGGGCTCTACTTATCATTTGATTTCCTTGTAAAACATGCCATAGGTGTGAGAACCTGGGAAACATTGCCACACAACTCAATTCAATTATGTCTTTGAGTTATACATGTCCCTGCAATTTTTCAGCCTTCAAATCTCATCTGGATTAGCACGGAGACCCCAGGGGTGAGAGACAAGTGATTAGTCCATTAACCTTAGCCATATCTTCCTGTACGTTCAATCTTTCCATGAAGCAGGTGCATAATTTACTTAGAAGCACTTACTGTCGTTGACGAGGCCCAGCTATCACCTCAAATTGTTGCTTTGGCAATCAGCTCACCTGAGCTGTGACACTGGGAAGGAGAGGATGGCAGGACCAACAAGAAGAAACAGCTGGGAGAGGTATCCTGTGTGAGGGCAGTGCTCTCTCCCACCACTATATTAAGCCAGGGTGCAGTAAGGAGGTGCAGACCTTGTCCTCCACATCTGCCATATGCATTGCAGGATGACCGAGGCTCTGCTTTTCCCACCAGGAGCAGAAGCTTTTCTTTTTGCCAAGACACTCAAGGGGCTCTGTCATAGGTGGCTCCTGAGAGTGCCCAACCAAGGCTGTGAAACTACCTGCTACCTCCCCTCTGCTCTTTCATAACCGATAGATGTTTTGGCCTCCTGCAAAGGAGACAACAGCCTGGCAAAGACGTCGTAGCAACTCTGCCTGAAAGCCCTGTGTAATGTTCTCTCAGCAAGAAGGACTTGGTCAAAAGGCTGAGGAGGGAAATGGAAGAGTTACACAGGGAATTAGCAGGTAGAAAACTCAAGCTCGAAGGGATCAACGCAATGTTATGGTCTGACAGCCTTTATGGAGAAGGCTGAGGTTTTCAATGACTGTCATGGGTTAGGCCACTCCGGCAACCAAACCCCCCCACAGTCGTTCACTCACCCTCCCCCAGCCCCAGGGATGAGGGAGAGAATTAAAGGATAAACAGGAAACCCGTGGGTTGAGATAAGAACAATTTAATACAGATGA